ATCCGCACCCCCAAATATGCGTGTCAGTGAGGTGGCCGGGGCAACCTATGGTGCCATGAGCAGTGGATCAGTGTTTATCCCTGGAATACAAACAAACATCGTGTGTCCCTAGCACAAAGAGGGATGTTCTCTCAGCCGGGACTCTTAGGGGAGTGCCTGGACCCTACCCTGAGTGAAAGGACAGACTCTAGATATCACCTATATGGAAGGAATTGGCAATAGGGTGGGAAGCTGGGGGGATGCAGGAGGAGGGTAGGGAAAGGGAACTTGACATGTAAAACAAGCTATTATAATTAAAATAATAAAAATTCATCTTTAAGAATCAGAGAACAATAAACATTGTATACCGCTGGTTAATTTTCATTCTTTTATATTGGAAGTTTTATAGTCATTGCTTTTGAGTTAGAAAACAGGTTTTAATTTACTGGTGAATATATTTGTGTTATTCTGGCAAGTTTAATGCTTCAAAATAAATCACAACTTACCTCTAGATATATATTTGGCCTCTGTATCAAATGTTCAGATAAAGATAACTGTTGACAATTGGAAGCATTGGGTGTAAATGTTCCCGGTTTCACTTTTAATCCAAGACCATTTAGAAAATGCCAAAACTTGAGAATGTCATACTTGTCATCAAACTCCTGTTCCCAATATAAATGCCTGTTGTCTCTGACATGATTATTCCTCAATAAAGGGTGAAGCTGAAAGGGATGAAAGACCATATGACAAAGTATGTCTGAGAGGTTGACAAGAAATGGAATGACTTTCATTGTTTATAATCTCTGGTTTAGGACAACACACTAATGTAGGTATTACTGGGGCTGAGAAATGATTACCTGCATTAGTCTGATGCCCTATTATCTCTGAAGGGACAGCCTGTTCAAGAATATCTTCTAAACTAACTTAGAAAATGAAGACATGAGCATTGATGAAGTAAACCTAAACTTCTTTTTAAAAAGCTGTACAAATTTACTTACCTACATCGTGTATCCCAATGTTGAATAAGTAAAGTGTGTTTACTGATTACTTCATGTTAGTTAAGAAATCATTTATGTACTACTACCTTGTATTATTCAAATGTCACTGTGTCAGTTAGTGAGAGAATACTTAGTTTTCTAATGGAATCTCTTAGCATTAGAAGGTTTTGTGGCTATTACTTACACAATATTTATACTTTATTTCCTCATTGCCACTAGCAACCCATTCCTCAGCAACAAGCACACAAAGAGCTGCACTGCCTTGTAAGATAAGATATAAAATAAATGTTCTCCTTTCATTTCTTATATAATGATCAAATGTGCAATCCCTAATATGGAGCCTAATCAAATAAACCCAAAATTTCACATTGCTGATACTCTAAATCATTGGAAGGGATATTACCTGCCAGGGAAGAACACCATTTCCTTCTCATTTCGAAATGGTTGCATCTGTACTTGCTGAAGGCTCATCTCAGCTTTGTAAATATCATAACTCTCTTCACTCATTTCCTTGTCAAAAATGTGTCTAGGCAGGAATTCCAAGGAAGCATTTGGTTGGCATCTCTCCAAAATTTGACAATCAAGCTCTGAAAATGGGCATTTGCTAGAACAAAAACCATAAGTTAGGAAGGTAAATGTCTTCTGGGTATTTGAAAGGATTAACTGTTTTGAAAAAATTTGGAAATTCAGCCATCTCCTCATGTTGATATGAAAAGATGAAACTTCCATGGAATGAATCTACTAAGACATAATCAGCATGGTTGGTAGCATCCCACTGAGAGTTCATCACCCAGACTTTCCATGTCAAAAACTGTTTTACTAGATTCAGCATTAAGCCATGTAGTGAAATACTGTCACCATAAATGATTATGATATTGGCCAATGATTCCTGGATCTTCCCCAAATTTGCCCAGAATGTGAAGGAAAATGAATTCCATGTGCTTGAGATCATTTCAACAAAAGCTATACAGACTGTATTTTTTCCATATTTTTTCTTAAATTGGACAGTAACTCAGTCCCTCTGTGATCATCTGGAAGAAGCAGACCAACCCAGTTCCAGCCAATATGGACTATCAAATAGACAATAGCAAGAGACAGAGATGTGACTTTGGAGGCCATCTGATAGAGAGAATTAAACTAACTTCGATCACTGAAGATAGGATCAAAAGGACCAATGGTAACCTGAAGAGAAAGCAATTTGTAACAAGAGTCAAACAATGACATCAAACACACTGTCCACTTTAAAGGAACAGATGTAAATGCTCAGCAAGTTAACTGGTTCATTCCAAGTTTAAAGTTAATTCTCAGTGGCAGAATTTCCAGTGAATTACTGAACTTTCCTATTTTTGATCCATCTTCCATGTCTCCTCTATTCTTTCCTTTTTTTTCTTTGCCAAGTGACTGAAGTATGTATGCATCCTTCTCCAATTGTCTAGACACTTTTCACAGATAGCTAAGAAAATCATGTGTCTCTCTTTTACCTTAGCACATCTCTGCAATGTCAGTAAAGAGATCATGGTATAATTCAAATACAATGCCTCACCTGTGGGAATTTGCAGAGTTGAAGCAGTGTCCCAATATGGACAGATTTTACCCATGATGGTCAATTAGTGCTGCAACAGACTTTATCTCATTCTCACAGTGATAATTTGGGTATGGAAAACTCAGGCCTGATAGCCAAAGGAGGGGCTGCAAAAGAATGGTTTTCTCCCCCTGTGGGACATTATGAAAGTCCAATTCCAGAGATATGTTTGTTAAAAAGTGGATTCCTGTTGATCTCCTCAATGGCAAATTCCAGAGGTAGAATAAACTGGTAGTTTTTAAAATTATACCTGGATAAAGGAAATAAAATCACACTAGATAAAAATTACAGATAGCACAGAGCTGCAGCTCAATCCAATGATTTTTCTAGTTTAAAAATTAGTTTTTATGTATGCTCCACATTTAAACTTTCCTATTAAATGACTGGAATTCAACAAATTATGTTACCTGGTTAGAATGAAATAAAATCCTGCATCTAGTATCCTCATTATTAACAGTTTCATGACAGCTTGCTTTACTTTCAATTGTACATAATACATAAATAAAAATTTTTATTATAAATATGAAAGACCCACCTATATAAAATTTCATGTTTCCTGGTCACTGCTCTCATTTAAATATCACTTGATTAGAGCACTCACATTCACAAAGTAATATTTTAATCAAAGAATATCCCTGAGTTAATTTGGCTCAGCTATATAAATACTTGTTATTCTTTGATAATATTGTCTCTATCTGAATTTATATAACTTCTGAATTGTGTGTGTGAGAAAATGTTTGAAATTTAATTGTTATAAGTGCAAGACTGGATAGCTTTCACTGGCATATCTGTTTGTAATTTTCTTTCTAACAATGTCTGTATTATTTCGATAGCATATGACTGGATATTCCCATTGAATACTTCCAGAATTTCTTTTTTATCAGACTCCTCTCCTCCACAGGATCCTGGATTACAGGTGTGCACTCATAAATTTTCTGGGAGCCTAAACTAAGGTAATCTCACTTGCATCTGAATCATTTTTGGTTTCTGAGACATTCCTCATTTTAGTATCAAACTCTTAAATTAAGAGAATTGGGTTTCACTTGAATACCATTAAAAATAAAAAGAAACAAAACAAATCCTACAGTCAGGTGACCTTTCCCTTAAGATATAGGCTGCTGCCCATGTGAATTATGCCTTTTTGAATAAGAGGTAACATGCTATTGCTGAAGAAACCACACACTTCAGAAATTATATGAAAAGGTCAACCTAGATTTACCTGGAAGTCTTCTTACTTAGAACTGGCTCCCAAAATTATAGGAGTCATACATATTCACAATGGAGTAAAGCCTATTCATTAGTATGGGCAATTAATCACAGCACTTGAAAGCAGTACAAGATATTCTGAATGGTAGAATCATGACACTTATAGCCTTGAATAATGCACAGTTATCTAATTGGACTAAAGTCATGTTGGGGCAGGAAAGAAGCCATGTCTGTCAGTGTACCTGTACCTTTAGCCAACTACTAGCACTGAAAGCATGGATTCTTTAGGAGAACCTACTGCTGTCAGTTTTCTAAACTAGTACAATCTCTGACTTTAATCTAAAATTAACCTTATATCCACAGATAAACAAAGCTCTCTCCATGTTTAAGGATACTTCTTTATGTGGAAGATAAAGATCATTACAAGATGTCCTAACTGTGAAAATGATAGGAATAAGGCAGACTCCAATTTCTATATTTAAAATAAAATTAGTACACTTAAAGATGCAGGAAGCTAAGGGATAGGGCTGTAAAATTTGTTATGAGCCACAGGATGAGGAGAGCTTTTGCAAGATGTTCTCTTCAAATTAAGGTAGATGACGTGAAGATATGGTGGGTGAGTGAAATTCAGGATTTGTTTGTAAAAATCAAAGAATAATGACTGAGACACATGAGTTTAAACTTTAAGATATTTAAAAATATTTAATTTAAATTATTGAATTTTGAAAATTGTTCCTTCCTTCTTCTAGAACTTGTTGGAAAGATGGTATTGCTAAAGAAAATATGTAGCTAAGCCATACAACATGGAGATATCAAACTGGTATTGGACTAGAAGCTTCTTTCTTACTAATTTTCACATTTCTGCTAGTATAACAGGATCCAAGAACTTAGTAGTCACTCAGACCTTAGTGTAAATGAGTCCCTGATGGAAGTGCCATTTAGCCTGTCAAACTTAGCAGGTATATCAAACTGCCTAAATAAAGACAAAGACTGAATCCATTTTAGTCCATAGTTCTAGGAGTATTTCTAAATGTACTTAATTGCTTTTGGCTTCAATAGTTCTGCTTCTGGCTAACTGAAAATATGTTAACCCTGAAGATTTTTTGTGACATTATAGTCACAAGTCAGCTAATAGATACTTTCTCTTGCTTTTAACTCATGTCCAACCAGTATTTTCTGGTGAACACCCACAATAATTCTGATGGTTCCACTAACATCTCATAACAATTCCTCAGGACACAAGGGTTCTCCAAGTTCCTCAGAGAAAGGAAGAATGAAGTGCTCAAGGGGATCATAGGGGAGTGCAACCTGAGGAACTTTTCCCCAGAGTGTATGATGATCAATTTGTGCCTAAGGAATCTGACATATTCACCCACAAAGGAAACAAGGTGAAATGTTTCCTGGTTTGTCAACTTTGCAGGTAAGTCTGATTAAGGTGTCTTCTATTTTAAAACATAGGAGAGAGGTTAGAAATGGCTGCTGGTCCAGTGTTCAGGAACCATGTTAAGAGGACACTAAGTTGTTTTTACTGTGTCTCTGTGTGTATTACTATGCTTTACTGAAAGTTTTGTTTTGGTGAGTTTATTTCAGGCTTTGCTTCCCTGTATTCTCCTGTGACATTCTTTCCTGTGACAACATTTCCCAACCTGGCTTAAGATGCGTGCATCCTATTGTTTGGGAATAAATCCTTTTTGGCTCTGCAAGGTTTCCCATATTAGTGCAAACAAACAATCACCTCTACCATATCACTAAGGAATGTATCTTGTTTTGTTGCTTGACTCCTCCTCAGTGTTGCCTGATCCTTATGTGGAGGTGCTGAGGAGCCAGTCCTTCATCCAGGGCTTAATGCATCTAAGCAGAAAGCACTCAGGAATGGGGGAATAGTTCCCCTGTGTGAGCATTCACTCCATTTTTACCTGCTGTAGGCAACTGTACAGAAGGGTTAAGTACCCCTGGGCTGATCCTAAAGAAAATGAAATTTATATTCATTTCTATTTCATGATTCATGTCTTCATACTAGACAATGCTCCATATATTTGAAAATTCAACACCCACTATTCTCTCTAAAAATAAAATAAAATAAAATGGTAGAAAAATCCCCTGTGATATTGCACAGGGGAATTTTGTTGTCACACAACACAGCCTGGACAGAACAGATTCTCCCTTATATCCAACATTGACCAAGCAGATTTATATAATGTATTCTGGGTACATCTTTAGTATTAAAGATGGTTCTTACAAGATTTCTTTTGTTACCCAGCTGCCATGTGATACTAGAAAATTATTATTAATGCATAATTAGGTCCTAATTGCTGGAAGCAGCTCAAGGCATGTTTACCAACAGGAAAGTGAGTTGGAGGAAACCATTTGCATAAACTGAAAGCTATGAGTACATTTCCTGACAATAAGATACAGATTTACAGATGTAAAGAGAAATTTTGGTGTCTTACTCTCTGTCAGAGGAAAACAACCCAATGGGACTGGTCCAATACCAAGTTCCTGTAATTGTTCAAACAACCAGTTATAGTGGGCATTTTTATCTCTGAATTAGTATGAAGATTCTTTCTTACTAAACTGTACTTTTAATTGATAAAATAATATTAGTTTAATTAGAAGCTGATTATTAAGATTAAATATAAGGACATTGTAGGTGGAGATCTATGTACCCATAGGGCTGGTCATGCACATTTGGGTGTGGTCACAGGTATATAGAGTGTTCAGACCTTTGGTTCTCAGCTTTCTTAGCTCATCATGGAAGACATTTCTCCCTCAATAAAATATCATATGACATCTTTATTTTGTGTAGCTTAATATTTCCACATTAGGAAATGTCATACATCTAGGGTCTATGTATATCATCTAAGGAGCTGTATAGGTTGCAGCTCAGATTAATGATTAAAAAATCATTTAAGGCTGCGAACTGGTGATACATGCCTATAATCCCAGCACCCAGGAGGCAGAGGCAGCCAGATCTCTGTGAGTTTGAGGCCAGACTGCTCTACAAGAGCTAGTTCCAGGACAGCCTCTAAAGTCACAGAGAATCTCTGTCTCAAAAAACCAAAAGAAAGAAAGAAAGAAAGAAACATATAACAAAAGAAAGAAAATGATCTAGGTTGGCACAAATTCTTTCAAATTGATGTCAAAAGATGAATGAATAGGTTGTGGTGTGCAACATAGCTGAAACAAAGACTTTGCATGACCTCATGTTACACTAACATATTCTAAAAATATCTTTGATGTTAGGGATCAAAGAGCAAAGCAGGTCAATTATTATTAGGTAATAATTTTTCCTTGTGAGGATTGGTTGATGATCAAAGACCCTAATTTATTCCCTGTGCCACAAATCTCCTGAATATATATATATATATATATATATATATATATACATATATGTTTATATATTGGGCATGCACACTAAAGTGTTAAAGTAAAGCTGACTGTTTGGTTTTCACATGAAACAGTTTAGGTTTGTGATTCCTTTTGATTCCTCATAAGATTACATTTAAAAATAAGAAATAAAGCTGTTAATCCTTTGTTTCTAATTGCAAAATACATTGATGTTGACACTGTGTTAATCTTTTCACAAGTTGCTTGGATATGAATATATCTGGGTTCAAGGGACAACTTGACTTTCAAATGTGATATGTAAAATATTTCATCCTGTAAGAGATATGGAAAGCATTCTGTATTTTTACTTGTGTTTTCATTGTAATCATTAATGTGAATAACCATATGTAACCACAGTTTAATTTCTATATTACCAGAAAGATTTTGTTGATATATACAAGCTGTAGAGTAAAAATGAAGAGAAAATGGGAAGTTTAAAGGTGGAATTAGAAGAAAACATCAAGAATGAGAGAATTAGGAAGAAAACATAAAGAGAGTTATAAGCAAAACAGCAAGAGAGACAGGAAGCACATTTCTGATAGAGATAATTAAAGCAATAAGCAACTGCACCAGAAGACGAAGAAACAAAAATCATAAGGTAAATATTAAGACATAGTATGAAAGTACCTTTTCCCTTATGCGTGTGGATAAAAAAGTCTCATGCTTTTAATTCCTTCATTCTGGAGGCAGAAGCAGGCAGATCTCTGTGATTTCAAAGCCAGCCTGGTCTAGAGAGTGAGCTCCAGGACAGTCTCCAATGCAATACAGAGAATCCCTGTCTCAATAAACCCAAACCGAAACCAAAAAAGTCTGAGTTTGCTCATTCTTTGGATTCTTTTTGAGCCCTGTGCTGCTGGAGGCTGGTATCCAAGCAGTATTCGTTGAGGTAATGGAAATTCCCTGTGCCACACTTATCCAAATATTGGACCCTGTTGCCAAATATTCCTGTGAAATATCTGTGGAGGCTTCAGATAATTTAAGAAAAGAAAGAAAACAAATTACCTGAGTTAAGATCTTATACTCATAGTTTCAAACACTGATGGGGTCTTCTTCTGAGGAAAACAAGAACACTGACTGTTTAATAATTGTGTACTCCAATACATGACACTACTCTTGGAATCCCCACCAGACTTTGAGTCTAGTTAGAGAAATCATCTGTCATCAAAACTATTATCTTCTTTCCTGATGATGACTTGAAGGTGCTTGTCCATGACTATCACTAGTTGAAAGTTTAAATCAGTACATTGGAGCTCCACTAGTTACTTTACATAAAATGATTTGTGGCCATACCAGTTATCGAAGACAGAAGACATGATTGATCTGACAGTGTATCTCACATTAGGAAATCCTAAGTCCACCATCATACACATGAGCAATCAGTTGATGTACTTTTTCAACTGGCTTGTCCATCCTGTGCTCTGTAGAGAAAGAGGGATTGTCACTGCTGGATAAAGAATATTAAAAAATATATTGGCCTTCCTAAGGATTATTTTGCTTCCAGTAGAAATTGTCCTCCATATCCAGCATTTTGAACTCAGTGTATGACAAATGATCTTAAGACTAGTGTAGACTATTGATGTTTGGATGACACAACCACAACTCAGTGCTATCTGAGTCTGCATAGTACAACTCCTGTTTCTAAATTGAAAAAATATACATATAGTTAGATTCCTTTGCAGAAATGGTGATACAAACTTAGTATTAGAGTTCTCATGAAATAAAAGAAAGTATGTATGGCTGTGGATGAAACTTCTTGTTTCTATGCTAATTGACCAAAATTAATTAGATAAAACCTTGGTATTGGTGGGGAAATTATTGGAACAAATCTCAGTCCTCTGCGTACTTCTGACCTTGCTATCAGCACTGGCTGAGGATCTAATTCTTATTCTGGTGAACAGAGGCTGCCTCATAAACTAAATTTAGATTACTCTATCATGTGACTCATTTATTAAAACTAGTTGTGAATGTGTAGAGCCCCAGAACTTAAGGGACTTCAGACCTGAGCATACCCAACTCAATGATGTAAGTGTCATTCAGCCTGCAAAACTCAGAAAACAGACAGCACCAATTGGCATATATGAAAATGAAGACATATCCCATTACAACACATAATTCTCAAAAAGATTCTAAACACACTAACCGTGTTTTGGTATTTGTAGTTCAACTTCTGGATAACTATTCTTCTTACTTGACACAGAATAATTTTTATTTGTTGTTTAAAAGTTCATCCTGAGAAAGTTACTTTGCTACAATAGGGTCATGATCAACCAGTGAGGCTGTTAACTGGCTAAGACTTATTTTCTATTGGCTTAACTGACATCGGCCATGACAGAGAAGCAGTGAGTTGCAATTGTAATCTGAGGTGTCAGCTAACCAGAGTGATAACACTCTTGTGGGTCAATCTAGCTTGTATAAGTCCACAGAACTACAGACACCAAAATGTGTTTTGCTTCTCCTTTGCCTTTACTTGGCAGCTGCAACTCTCTTTCTCTGTTGTCTAGCATGGTGTGAGTACATATGGGGAGATATCTACTGCCCGTAATAGAGTATGTTTATCTCTTGGAAACAACTGGGCATTTTTACCAGCAGTGGATTGTCAAGAAGATGAACCATCTCAAAACTGTGTTGTCAAAGTTGCTAATAAAAATGATTGCCTATACAGAGTTTTGATGAAAAAAATAAATACCAGGATTTGTTCCCCAGTTGTTCAGGGTAATGATTAACAGAAAGCACCTGATTCCAGGAGCCAAACTGGCTCCGATTCTGTTAATGCTGAAAAGAGGTAGTCACATACCATTGACTTAAAAAAGGTTCAAAATAACTTCAGGTTAGACCAGGTGCTTTGCTAATACTTTTAACTTTATTTACCCCAGAAAACAATCTAAAGTTTACACGGACATGTCTCTGTGCTGTCTGACACATTTAGGCTAAGCTAAAACTTCAATAAAGCCCAATTTTTGCTAGCTTTCATTGCATGTTTGGCTGATGAACAACAGTGGTAATTAATTCCATATACCCATTTCTGCCCTTATTCAATCCTGATATTCAAAAATCTATTAATGAGTTGGTAGGTACCCTAAAGATTTAAAGAAGTGCTGACTAATTCCTTTTCCTTGAAAATGTTTCACTTTTTTGATTCCTTTTAAACTCATTGTAGAATTGCCTTTCAAAGTATGTAACAAAGTGATTGGCCATTTCTTTGTAATGGCCAGATATAGCCTGCTATTAAAATACCTGACAAGAACACCTTCATGCCCACACAGTTAACCTATAAAATCTTGCTTGATATTGAAGAGATGTGGGTTCTTAGGATAATTTATTTATCACCTGTAGAATGTGCACTGGTTAATCATGTGAGAGATATGGAAAGGATACAATTTTTACACTTTTATTTGTAGTCATTGTATTATTCAGTTGATAACCATAATTTAACCACATTGTAAATCTTATATTTATGTAAAACCTTTGTTGAGATATATAACCTGTACCACAAAAAATGACACAGTGAAGAGAATAGATAAACTACAGAAAAATAATATGACAGAACAAAGAGTAAAGAGAGAAGCCAGCAAATATGTGTTTATTTTCTGATAACACAACATAGGAATGTCTACCTTATTCTGACTCCATTGCGTTCCTTTCAAAGTCCCATGGTACTGGAGGCTGGACCCACAGACAATCAATATTAAAACATTGGCACAGACTTCTCTCGTGAATACATAAAAATACTAAGCATTATGCATGAAACCAGAAAGAAAAAATGGTTGATATTGTTTTCATATGAAAACAACTGAGGTTGATGTAAACAAGCTCCAACAGAGGATAATATTCTAATTGTAGTAGGAAAACAAAAGGGACAAAATTTCATGCTGGTTGAAACCCCACCAAAATAATTGAAGTGTCATGATTTCTCAAACCAAGAAAATCAGTGGATTTTACCCTTCTGCGTGTCTCTGTGCCAAATTGCTTTCTTCTACTCTACATCTACATATGCATCTACATCTACATGCATCTAAAGATCAACATAATGCCCACAGACAATACAATATATTTAGCTCTCACTTTGAGAAAATTAATAGTTGTTTAGTTCCAAATGGGTCAGCTAATTAATAAATGAAGTTTTCAGGTCAGATCCTGGGCTTTGTGCTCCTATACCACTGCTGCCCTTGCTACCATTCAGTTAATCATGAGTAGACACCTGCATCTAGAAAAGTAGATTTACCTACTTACCCTGTTCAGAGAACATGAGGGTGAGAGGGAAATCCTTAACTGTTTTGTATAAAGCATAATAAATGTATATCCTTTAAATGTGTGTTTTACCCAACAGACAGAATGCAGCTGTGATTAGCATGGCTCTATTTCTTAGGTTAAAGGATAAGGTAATGCAGTGAAAGTACTTTGTCTCATACTGTATCAATAAATGCAAGCTCCAACACACAAGTAAGTCCCCTGAGGAAAGAATGAAAGAGTGGAGTGAATAAAAACCACAGACACTTGTCTGTGAATGAAAAACACTATTATTTCTTTACAAATATTGTGCAGTTAGAAGACACACTGGAACATCTGAAATAATCCAAATGGCACTGAAATTAGTAAATGCTAATATCACTAGTGATTTACTTTGAAAATGGAGAAAACAAGAGGTACTGAGGTAACTAAACAGGATATGCAATGCTGCATAAATGTCCTTTAAGATATTTGCTACTTATGATACAACAGTCTTTGGACTTTATCACTTAAATCCTTCAATGTGCTTTTTTTCTCTTTTAGCTTATCGTATTTTATGTTAAACTTTGTCATTGCCTCTTAGAAGCTCATTTTTTCTAATGAGAGACAGAAATCAATTGGATATTGATATGAAGGGTGGTTGGAAGGGTCTGATTTCAGTGGAAGAAGTGAAACAATAATCAGGATATACTTTGTGAGAAGAGTCTGTTTGTTAATAAAAGGGGGAAAGTATTTTAATAGGAAGGCAAAATGCTTTCATTTTAATGAACTAGATACTTATCCTTATTATGAATTTTCCTATCTTAATCATAGTGCACATGTCAAAACATTTATTTAGGGTCTTTTTGAATTCCTAACACATCAATATGTTATGATAACACAACATGATTCCTTTGTGTGTTTAGGTGATTATTTAATTTTTGTTTTAAATCACATTCAGTTTCCCTGTGTGCCCATCTTTCCTGCCTCTCCCCTCCTTTCCACTTCCTCAGCTCTAGTACTGCTACCTTGTTTCTCTTTTGATACAGTTGGACCTCACAGAGCTATTAACAGCTAGGGTATATCAAATTAGTGTAAGACAGTACACATCTTCTTCTATAAAACCTAGATGTTGAATTCTGCTATGAGAAATGGGTCCCAAAGCCATGTAACAGAATCAGAGAAAGGCCCTCATCCCACTGTTAGGAGTTCCAGTAGAAAACTGAGGTACCTGAGAACACGACTCTAAATTATGTGCAGTAGTATTCACATATAGTTACTGAAGTTATGACAAAAAGTCTAAGGATTCCTCAAGCGACATTACCATATAATTTAAATGCATAATGAATTTGACATTGTAAGATTGTAGTATCATATGAGCTCAAACATATGAACTGGTTGTTGTTTTTCATAAGGTATCAAGCATTTCAGAAGGAGATTCAATTGTGTGTCATGTTGATACAGGATGGACTTTTGATGGCTAAACTCTATATATAACTACACTGCATTATGAAGAATCTAAACACCTTATAGGAATGCCTAC